GTATTAAATAATACCTCAGATTAAAGTTAGGATAATATAATTGACATTGCTGGATTCCTTGTAAGACCAGGAATATTTTGAATATAAATGTCATATATTTTGCACAAAAGATGACATAGTTAATTTGAGAAAAATTTTTATCTAAAATTTGTATGTCTAATGCAAAAATATGATGTTTATATTCAAAATGATCACCAAATTATAAGAATTCCAGCAATGTAAGTTATATTCTGACCCGAGGTAATTTGTATGAATTTTATAGGCTAAAACAAATATCTTCAGTTAATAAAAAAATAATTCTTCACAGGGTAACAGATGGTCGGTCGGTCCCTCCCTCCCCCCCACCCCCCACCCCAAGGAGATGTGTGGGATAACCACTAAATTTTAATAAATAATACCTCAAACTAAAGTCAGGATAATATAATTGACATTGCTGGATTCCTTGTAAGACCAGGAATATTTTGAATATAAATGTCATATATTTTGCACAAAAGATACCATAGTTACCTTGAGAAAAAATTTTATCTAAAAATTGTAAGTTTAAAGCAAAATATATGTTTATATTCAAAATGATCACCAAATTATAAGAATTCTAGCAATGTAAATTATATTCTGGCCTGGTAATTTGTATGAATTTTATGAGCTAAAACAGGCAGTCAGGCAGGGTGGCGGGTGGGGCAAATCTAAAAATAGCGTCTCGGACACTCACCGCGTATATGTGGAAAAAATCCGCGTTAAGTGAAAGTTCAGCTTTGGCAAGGCACTGCGTATATGCGAAAACGCGTTAAGTGAAACCGCGTTAGGCGGGGTAAAACTGTACACACCTCAAAGTAAGTGAACTTTTCTACCATTTTTGTTGAATTTAGGAAATTTTTGGTGAGCTGGAACCAATTACCCAAAAACCCATTGAAACAATGGTTTCGGTTAACGAACTTTTCAGTTAACGAACAACCTGCTGGAACGGATTGAGTTCGTTAAACGAGGGACCACTGTACTTTATTTCATTGTACCCCTGTACATTCTACAAGTATACACAATGTGTTACTGACTATCAGCATTACTGCACCAAAAATTAATTATTTTCATGATTGCCAATTTAAGATTTCACAATTAGGAGAAAACATTCTCAAACCTATTTCAACAAAATAATTCAATATCCCAATCTTCTTCCCTTCCTAATCCTTATCTATATACCAGAAGTATTCTGTTTAGATGCAGGGTCTTTTAACTATCTTACAAGGAGCAAGGCAAAAACTAATTGTTCAATATTCAATTCAGCAAACAGAGATAATGTGCAACTCTTCAGCTTTGCATATATGCATCTGATTAAAAAGAAATCCTAGAATTTGTAATTTATGAAATTATTCCATAAATTACAAATTTAAGGATTTCCTTTTAAAGTTTTAAAATATAAATACTATATGAACTGATAATGTTAACATAGGATGTCACAAAAACTTTTCTGAACTCTATACAACTCCGATAGGTCTACCGGTATGCTAGCCCCTATTCTGTAATTGTGCAAAAAAGCATTGCTTTCTAAAGCAATACTATACCCTCCTCTATTCTGCATGTAACACCTACAGTCAGTACAAAGTATGGACTTACCCCTTTGCGAGAACTGGGTTTTTTCTCTCTCTTATTCTTGGTGACCTTGTGGCCTTTTTTGAGGCCAACGGCCATTTCATACCTTGGCGCCATTTTGCCTGTAATATAAACAAATATAAAATACATCTTATAGCAAATACAACTATGGAATTGAAGGAATAAGCAATTAATGGATATCTGTTAACAAGTACTCTGTACTGTACTTGCTGAAAAAAATCTGCATCTGTAAGGGCCAAGCAAATCATATACAGTATAGTCTTCATTTACGCGGTCAATTGAACCCGTGGAGGTCCGGGTAAAACGAGAAACGCGTAAACGAAATAACAGAACATATGGGATTAACTGAAATAGAGACTGGGCCGATCCCCAAACTACACTTTTTCCGACACAATACAGTCGACCCTCGTTAATTCGGACTAATGGGGGGGGGGGGGAAGGGTGTCCGTTTTAGCCGATTGTCCGAATTAACCGATTTAGGGGTTAATATTGCATTATATTTCAAAGACATAGTTTTCGTCACGATTTTATCCCACTTTCCACTGTAATATGTACGTAATTTCAGCAAAAATATTACATTTCCGTGAATCATTATATCAAGCACAGTATGAATAGAATACCATTGTAATATAACAGTATTTTAACCGAAAACTACTAAAAAAATGAATAACATCTCAAGAACATAGGAAGCTTAGGTAAAGTCTTTTGTTTTCGTCATGTATTTTATCCTATTTTACATTGAAATACATCACGTTTCAGCAAAACTACTATTTATTTCCGAGAATATATTCATTCAGGCGCAGTTTAGGTAAAATATACGTGTGATGTAACAGTTTTTTAATTGAAAACGATTCGAAAAACACGTACCCTCTAGCCCTGTTCAATGACAGGACTGGGAGAAGCTGTTTGGTGCTGCAGACGATGAATTTTAATGAAAATATTCAGAAATATGGTATCGTAGTATTTATTCAAGTCAATTAGGATAGGATATTAATGTAATACAACAGTTTTTTAACTGAAAACCAATCGAAAAGCGATTACGGTAACATCTTTTGAACGAAAGCGAAAGTCATTGTTTTCGTCATGATTTTATCCCACTTTCCACTAATACCTACGTCATTTCAGCAAAAATATTACATTTCCGTGAATGAATTATATCAAGCACAGTATGAATAGAATACCATTGTAATATAACAATATAACAGTATTTTAACCAAAAACTATTAAAAAAATGAGTAACTTCTCTAGAACATCAGAAGGTTAGGTAAAGTCTTTTGTTTTCGTCATGTATTATATCCTATTTTACATTAAAATACATCACGTTTCAGCAAAACTACTATTTATTTCCGAGAATATATTCATTCAGGCACAGTTAAGGTAAAATATACATGTGATGTAACAGTTTTTTAACTGAAAACTATTCGAAAAACACGTGTACCGTGTAGCTGATACTCAACAGCTGGTGGTGCGTCATGCGTCGTTGTAAACAATAGGAGGTTGAAGTAGATTACCGGGTATTATATTAAGTGTGAAATATCAAAAAGGTTTTTATTACCGGTATTTTTTGTAGATCAATGAGAACTTTGATTCCGTATATGATATGATAAGTTAGCCTGTGCTAAGAACTTCGACATAGACTACTGAAAACACGTTGTAAGGTAATTTAGCCTATTGTAAGTTGGTGAGCTTCATTTGCTGAAGGAACTGCACAACTTTTCATTACTAATTGGTACAAATTTTACGTTTCCATTGTTTACTGGCAGTAAATGGTAAATATTTTTCATGTCTGAAGCTAAAAGTTGCATCCCCCCCCCACACTAGTAGTGATATTACATTTGACCAAAAAGACGCTGGTGTTTTATCCCAGCAGTGGGTGGACCAGCATTTTAGCTTAAGGTCCGTGTTGGTAATATTCCTACAAATCTTAAAAAAAAAGAAAAAAAAAGAAGTTTGTTCAAATTTTGTCCGAATTATCCGAAATCCGGATTAAAGGGGTCCGAATTAACGAGGGTCGACTGTACGTACATTGTAGTAAAAATAACATCTTAATTTTATAATAGTATGCACACACACAATTAATATTTAAGAGAAATATCAATAATACAGTCGACCCTCGTTAATTCGGACTAATAGGGCGGGAAGGGTGTCCGTTTTAGCCGATTGTCCGAATTAACCGATTTAGGGGTTAATATTGCATTGTATTTCAAAGTCATTGTTTTCGTCATGATTTTATCCCACTTTCCACTGTAATACGTACGTAATTTCAGCAAAAGTATTACATTTCCGTGAATGCATTATATCAAGCACAGTATGAATAGAATACCATTGTAATATAACAGTATTTTAACCAAAACTATTAAAAAACGAGTAACTTCTCTTGAACATCGGAAGGTTAGGTAAAATCTTTTGTTTTTGTCATGTATTTTATCCTATTTTACATTGAAATACATCACGTTTCAGCAAAACTACTATTTATTTCCGAGAATATATTCATTCAGGCGCAGTTTAGGTCAAATATACGTGTGATGTAACAGTTTTTTTTAACTGAAAACGATTCGAAAAACACGTACCCTCTAGCCCTGTTCAAGGAGAGGACTGGGAGAAGCTGTTTGGTGCTGCAGACGATGAATTTGGATGAATTTTAATGAAAATATTCAGAAATATAGTATCGTAGTATTTATTCAAGTCAATTAGGATAGAATATTATTGTAATACAACAGTTTTTAACTGAAAACCATCGAAAAGCGATTACGGTAACATCTTTTGAACGAAAGAAAGCGAAAGTCATTGTTTTCATCACGATTTTATCCCACTTTCCATTGTAATACCTACGTCATTTCAGCAAAAATATTACATTTCCGTGAATGAATTATATCAAGCACAGTATGAATAGAATACCATTGTAATATAACAGTATTTTAACCAAAAACTATTAAAAAAACGAGTAACTTCTCTTGAACATCGGAAGGTTAGGTAAAATCTTTTGTTTTCGTCATGTATTATATCCTATTTTACATTAAAATACATCACGTTTCAGCAAAACTACTATTTATTTCTGAGAATATATTCATTCAGGCACAGTTAAGGTAAGTGTAGCTAATACTCAACAGCTGGTGGTGCGTCATGCGTCGTTGTAAACAATAGGAGGTTGAAATAGATTACCGGGTATTATATTAAGTGTGAAATATCAAAAAGGTTTTTATTACCGGTATTTTTTGTAGATCAATGAGAACTGTGATACCATATTTGATATGATAAGTTCGCCTGTGCTAAGAACTTCAACATAGACTACTGAAAACATGTTGTAAGGTAATTTAGCCTATTGTAAGTTGGTGAGCTTCATTTGCTGAAGGAACTGCACAACTTTTCATTACTAATTGGTACATATTTTACGTTTCCATTGTTTACTGGCAGTAAATGGTAAATATTTTTCATGTCTGAAGCTAAAAGTTGCATCCCCCCCCCAAACTAGTGGTGGAGATGTTACATTTAACCAAAAAGACGCTGGTGTTTTATCCCAGCAGTGGGTGGACCAGCATTTTAGCTTAAGGTCCGCATAGGTAATATTCCTACAAATCTAAAAAAAAAAAAAAAAAAAGTCCATATCCTCACTATCACTGACTTGGGTCGGCTGTGGTGGGTGGCGGGTGAAGAACTCGGTAATGTTTTGTTGACTGGGCGACCTTGTGCGCACCATGCCCGCGCCGCTTCCCGCGTAAATGATGGAATGAACCGTGTAAATAAAAATTGTCGGTCTGGCAAGGTACCAGGTAAATGACCAAACGCGTAAACCAAATCCGCGTAAATCGAGACTATATTGTACATTTGGGGTTCAGACCATGGGTTTCAAGTCCCTGTGAACTGGATCTGCAGTCTTCTTAGGATAGTGTATTTCTAGTACAGGTTGTCATTTTCAAATCTGGAACCTTCCTATGTATACTAGCACTTTTCTGCCCTATGCTATGTGAAAATAATACAAATTTTCAAGAAAGGAGATAGATCACTATCCTCTAACTACCACCCAATCAGTTTAACATCAACTGTAGGCAAATTTTGGGAAGCAATTATTTCAAACTCTATTCGAAATCACCTGGAGAAGCACAAGTTGATCAATGATTCCCAATATGGCTTCACAAGCAGGCATTCATGTTTGACTAATCTATTAGCATTCTTTTCAGCTGTTTTCGAATCAGTGGACGACGGGCACAAATATGATGTGGTATATTTTGACTTTAGCAAAACCTTCGGCAGTCCCCAACGAAAGACTAATAAGAAAAAGATAGGCTCATGGCATTGGGAGATATATTCTAAAATGGGTGAAGGGTGTGGTTACAGGACAGGAAACAGCGAGTAAGCATCAACGGCACTAAATCCGATTGGAATAACGTCACTAATGGAATACCCCCAAGGCTCAGTACTTGAACCATTATTATTTATTATATACATAAATGACACAGGTATAGGCGTTGACAGCAACGTAAGTAAATTTGCAGATGACACTGAAATAGGGCGTGTAATTAAATCTGATGTGGACTCCACAACACTACAGGAAGATCTAAACAAATTTTTTGAATGGTCTGAAAAATGGCAGATGAAATTTAAAGTGGACAAATGTAAAATACTTAGTCTAGGAGATGTAAACAGAGAAACCAGATACCACATGAACAACGATGTAATGAGAAGTAGGGATCTTAAACCTAGTAAACAGTGTGTATTTGCTCAAAACAAGGCTAATAAAGTACTTGGGTTCATACAAAGGAGTGTTAGCTACAAGACTAGCGAGGTCATCCTAAAACTATATCTTGCGCTTGTGAGACCTCACTAGGATCAAGCGGTTCAGTTCTGGTCACCGTACTACAGAATGGATATAGAATCCATAGAAAAAATAGATATAGAATCCCTAGAAAGAATGGATATAAAATCCGTAGAAAGAATTCAGAGGAGAATGACAAGACTATTCCTGGGCATTAGGAACCTTGAGTACAGAGACAGATTAAAGCATCTTAATCTGCACTCCCCCGAGAGACGGAGAGTGAGGGACAATATGATCAAGGTGTACAAATAGAAGTCAGGGCTAAACAAAGGTGATATAACAAAGGTA